GGACTGCTCACAGTGAAGCCTGACAACAAGCGCGCCTTGCATCACTTCCTCAGCGAAGTCATTCTCCAGGCGTGCCTTGCATTACTCACGGGACTTCTTCTTTGAAGTCAGAGACCACGCTAGCTCTCCCATTCGGGAGGCTATTCCGTGCGATCACATTTCTTTTAGCGATTTTTACTGCAACCTGTGTGACCTGTGTAAGCTGCTGTCTTCTCAGCGACGGCATCAGTGAGCTGTGTATGCTGCTGTCTTCTCAGCGACGTCATCAGTAACCCGCGTAAGCTGCTGTCTTCTCAGCGACGGCATCAGTGACCTGTGTAAGCTGCTGTCTTCATCAACGGTACCTGCGTGAGCCACTGTCTTCGTCAACGGTACCGGTGTGAGCAGATGTCTTCGTCAACGGCACCTGTGTAAGCTGCGTGAGCTGCCTTTGCAGCTAACAACATTCACAAGGCGACAAGCGTTCACAGCTAACTGGCGCTCAGATCCTACACGACACTTCAACATCGCGAGCGACTTGATTATGCAGAACGTAGTCAGGAAATATACTCATTTGTCAAAAGATATTCGTCTGTGTCGATCCTTCTGTTCCCTTAACCCTCTTCTACATTTTAAACAGCTTTCTTCGAAATAAAACCTTTATTAAAGAGGTTGAATTTCAAGCGAATACAATGCTCTGGCATTTATTGTGCGAGAATTAATATAAAATGTGTAAAACATTTGTAGTAAAACAAATTTGTAAAATTATTTTGTAGGTATTGTAGGTATTGACGTATAAATATGCGTCAATTATAGTTTATTCTACAAATATGCGAAAGAGTTGCGGTTCAAATCGTTCGAGAACTCGCATCGAATGGCCCATTCAGTCCCTCCTGCTGATTATCGTTTTGTTTAACATAAATCAATAGTTTATCTCTTCTAGAAACCATAGTCTTCGACATGTGTTTGTGCCTCTCCTACCTCGTGGATTCTACAGTATGCTACAATTTTGTCAAAAATTTAGTGACATATTTCAACATACTTTATTGAAATTTTTGTAAGAAATATTTATATATAATTATATAATTTATACGATTTATACACTTGTACAATTATACATGATCTGATTTTATGAAAAACGCTGCAGTTCGTCCGACTCCGTTCGACAACTCGAATAAAATTCAATAATGTTCGTCTGTACTTCCGAGTGTCACTTATAGTCTTACAGGTAGCGTCTTTATTTCCTCTAGAGATTTCGCAGGTCTTAGAAGGTCGAAGCATCCTCTGTGTCTGTTTTATGATCGACTTTCAACGTGAATTTTATTGTACCATCGACTTTCTTTACATTTTATACGAATTCAAAATGATATATTCTCACTGAGTACTCCTCATTCTCATTCTCTTTCCGATTGCCTTCATCACGATTGTCATCGTGCAGAATAACAAATGCGAGTTAAAGGGACAGTTTAGGATTTCCTGACAAAAGCATAGTTGTCAAATTTAAAAATTTGACATGGTTGCCACATTTTTGTCCCAACTTTCACTGATCGGTCCTGTCCGTGAGATGAAACTAGCAAAATAGGCGGCTGCATGATTGTTCATTGTCTCAGAATCTTAGGTTCGAGCTCGATCAAAATTATTCGATTCGATCCAACTCTGAAATGTCCGAATAGTCTCACCCGGATAATTAGAACAAATTTTTAGAATAATTAAAAATACAAGTCTTATTGTAACTTCCTAAAAAAAAATCATGTAACACTTTACTTGAATTCTTTTTAAGATATAAAACTTTTGCTTTGATCATACTGAACCTTTGTTTTTTTTTAAAGATATTTTTACGTTATGTAGCAAGTGAAAAATTAAAGAACTTTCTATTCTCGAAATTTATAAAAATTCAAACGTCTTTTAAGAGACTTATTGAGAATTTTTTCTATTGAAAATCCACTATGGTCTAGAAAATTCAAATTTTCCCACATATTAAAACTTTCTGTACAATTTTCTTTGCCATTTTTATTAAGCATTCCTATTAAACTTAATTATTAGGATTAGAAGATGAAATGTTAGGATTTCTCAAATTTTTACCATTGCGTTAGTTTATACATTCGTAATGTTTATACACGCAGAATTTAATGTATTTTCTAATTCTTTAATATCTCAAAA